CAGCTTCATGTAGATGCTGAAAAGGAGTGGGGAGAGAACCGAACCCTGCGGCACCCCACAAAGGAGGGGCCGAGGATGGGACCTCTCGCTCCCTATTAACACCGATTGGGATCGGCCCTGAAGAAAGGAGGTGAACCAGTACAATACTGTGCTGCCCACCTTCAATTCCCTGAGACGTCCCAACAGGATACCGTGGTCAATGGTATCGAAAGCCGCTGAGAGATCAAGGAGAGCAAGGATGGTCGCACTTCCACCATCCCGCTCCCGCCAGAGATCATTCATAAGTGCGACTAATGCCGTTTCCGTTCCATAGCCGGGCCTGAAACCTGACTGGAAGGGGTCCAGATAATCCGTTTCCTCCAGGACCCTTTGGAGCTGTGAAGCCACCACTTTCTCAACCACCTTCCCCAGAAAGGGGAGGTGGGAAACTGGACGAAAATTGTCCAGTACGGTGGGATCCAGGGAGGGGTTCTTGAGGAGGGGGTGCACCAATGCCTCCTTAAAGGCAGCCAGAAACACTCCCTCCTGCAAGGATGTAGTAACCATCGCCTGGATCCAACTACATGTCACCTCCCAAGCTGCTTTCACCAGCCAGGAGGGGCATGGGTCAAGATGGCAAGTGGTGGCCTTCACAGTCCCCAGGACCCTGTCCACTTCCTCAGGAGCAACAGGATCAAACTGTTCCCAGATAACTGGGTAAGAACGGTCTCCCGGTATCTCCCCAGACCCTGGCCCACGCTCAGAGTCTAACTCGGAATGAATCCGAGTGACTTTGTCCTGCAGATGCCCTGAAAATTCCTCCGCACGGCCCTGCAAATGAACCCCCACATCCCCCTTGCCAAGGAGAGACCTAGTGATCCTAAACAGGGCCGCCGGGCGGCATTCTGCGGACGCGATAAGAGCGGAAAAATATTGACGCTTTGCCACCCTTATTGCCACAGCGTAGGCCTCAACAGCGGCTCTAACCTGTGTTCGGTTGGATTCAGTCTTTGCCTTTTTCCAGCGGCGCTCTAGACGTCTCTTAACCCTCTTCAGCACCCTCAACTCCTCCGTAAACCACGGGGAGTGTCGGGGCCGATATGGCAAGAGAGGCCGCATAGGCGCGATCCTGTCCAAATTGTTCCTTTTTTGTTATGACAAAGGTGTCATTTAAGATAAGCAAGAAGCAGCATCAGGTAAACAATCAGGGAGGAAACAGTAACAGACACAAGGAACCATCAAGAAGGAAGCCACACCTCCACTGAGATTGATAGGGCAAGCTACTGTATATAAACAGCCATCAAACCCCACTCTCCCTTGCACTGATGAGGTTACCTAGCCTGATAATGAAATATTTGCAAGAAAACAACCAAGCTCACAGAGCACCAAGAACCTAACAATTTACAAAATATAATAGTTGGCCTGACAAACTACTGGAAGCTGCTATGATGACTCCTTTTAAATAAGCAACCATTTGTTAATACTAATACTTAACAGTATGTAAAATTTATGTAACAGTTCCCTTAAGACCTTGATTCACTGTATTGTGATTCTGTCTGTAATTCTTCAGTTCAGAGCTTCACTTGCTTTCATTAGGATAATTATCAAATATTTGGATTGTGCCAGATTAATTCAAGGCATGACATCTGGAAAACGGCAAAATTCAAAATGAAAACTGAACTAACTTAAAAAGATAGAATTGAAAGACTTTAAAAAAAAGCCATTTCTAAATTGTAGATATGGGTAAGTGGGATGGTATCCAGTAAACATATTCATTCAGATTGGCTGAAAAGCCTGTTCACCTAGAGGAATCAAGCATATTGATGCTAGATATTGAAATCACTATGGATTGGATTCTGGACAAAACCACTAGACAGGTGTCTCTACTGTAGTCTTCTTCAGCAGTACTGGGCAGATAGACTAGAGGCCTGATTTGTTAGATAGCCCTTTTATGGGGGAAGGTCACCTCTCAACATATATCTTACAAAAAAATATTCAGATTTTGAGATTTCTGGTTAATATTTTCAGATAGAAGACCCAGGAATTATTTTGCCTGAGATCTTACTTTAAAAGGACTGCTAATCAGGATATCCCATACTGATGGCTGGTTAGACTCATACTTGGATTATTGTTATATGTATCATTCTGTGAAATTATTTGATGCTGCATCAGCACTGGATTTCGATTTTGAATGCCTTAACTCTGTCCCTCTTTCTCTGTGATCTTAGTTATTACCCGTCCTCCTGTGGTGAGATCTGTTTCATACAGTTCAAGTCCCTCATCTTTAGAACAACCCAGTGGAGGAACTATGAGTCCTGCTTGCAAGGCTGCTTCTGGCCTGGACCCAAACCTAGGTAATGTAAATAGCAAAGGACTTTTATCTGTTTTGCTTACTTTAAGCATTATGGATTTTTGTGCAAAATCAACTTCAGTAAAATACAAAGTGAATAAGAATAGAGCTGTGGAAGGCTGTTCCCCATATTGCTATGTCAATAAGAGTTGGTGGTAACAAACTACTTACAGAATTCCTATAGATGAATGAGGTATAGAGTTAGGATGAAGCAATTATAAATGCCTTAGGGATTGTGCAGAACAGCTTCTTACATTGCCTTCAGGAAGAGCTATAGCTTACTTACATATGGAAACAGGTCAGCTATCAAGTTAAAGCTAGGACAGCAATACCATACTGAAATATCTTAAATAGATTAATATACTAGAGAATAGTGTTTACCAGAATTATGGGATAACCAGGAAAATACTAATGCAGACAAGATCACATTGCGCGTAACTGATAAATTACTATCTCCTAGAAGAAAACAAATATCAGTTTAGTTTTCTAACTAAATAAGAATGCTAGATAAAATGATTACAAGCCATACTGAGGACCGGTAATTCCATGGAATAACTGATGTTTTGTAAGTGGGAAATTATTACAATCCACTATCTGTATGTTAAGATGAATGATAATTATGATATTGTTTTGTTATCCTCTGAAGAGCTTTAGTGGATTGGATTCCAGATTCAGTTATACTTAACAGTAGCTTCTTGAAATCAGCAAGATTTCAGTTTACCGTGTCTAACTTCAGTCTCATTGATTTCAGTCAGTCTGCATATATCTGTATTAAAAGCCCTCTTATATAGGTATCTAAAATGAAAAAAAAAAAAGCCTTTCCCCAGATATGCATATTTTAGTCCTAGAACTAGACTGGCTTAAATCAGGCACTGTGTTGCTAGTATTAAATCTCCCCATCCTTAACAATAACTCAAAAGGGCCTGCTGAGTACTCCCTATACAAGCTTAGAGGTGTATGAAAGGCTACAGATCTTTGTTGTGGCCCCCATGCTCTGGAACTTCCTACCCCAGAGGTTTGTTTAGCCCCCTCCCAGCCTTTTGTATAGGTAGTCCTTGACTTACGACCATAATAAGGACTGGAAAATTAATCATTAAGCGGTGTGGTCGTTAAGCAAGACATCACGTGACTGCACCTGATTTTACGACATTTTTTGCAATGTTCATTAAGCGAATCAGTGTGGTTGTTAAGTAAATCACACGGTTCCCCATTGATTTTGCTTGTCGGAAGCTGGCTGGGAAGGTCACAAATGGCAATCACATGACCCCAGGATGCTGTAACCATCATAAATACATGCCGGTTGCCAAGCACCCAAATTTTGATCATGTGACCACAGAGATACTGCAATGGTCATAAATGTGAGAACTGGTCATAAGTCATTTTTTTCAGTGCTGTTGTAACTTCAAATAGTCGCTAAATGAATGGTTGTAAGTTGAGGACTACCTGTAATATGTTAAGGATTGAACACTGATTAGATGGTAAATACACCTGACTTCTGGGTAGCTTTTACCTATGTCATAAAAAGTTGTTGGATGTAATTTGTTTGCTACTGAAGTTCATAGTTTATTTATCAACAATCAATCGTTTTTCACAGCAATGAGTAATGTAATTTGACATTTTCTGTTCTGATAATGTAGAACATTTGGCTTTAGTTTGTTGTTAAGTAATTCTTTTGTTGCAACTTCATTATTCAGGAGAAAAAAGAAAAATTAATGAATGTTATTCTGTGGAGAGTGCTAAGAAACCAAGGGTTGTAGGAGATATTCCTGTTGAACTGATCAATGAAGTGATGTCAACTATTACAGATCCAGCAGCAATGCTTGGTCCAGAGGTGAGAAATGTACCTTTCAGAATTAATTAATGTAAAATATGAGGATAGCACATTATTAATTAATTAATTAATTAACTTATTAAATTTATATGCCATCCATCTACTACAGGTTATCAGTAGGTTTATTGTCATACTGAGATACTCTTTTTAATTTCAAGAGTATTGGGACTGATTTTCATTTGAAGACAATTTTTCACTATTAATACAAACCACATAATTCTACATAAGTAGGTGCCTCATATTGCTGGGACTTCAGTTCCAAGAATTCCCACCCAATATGACTATTGCTAAGAATTTTGGGAGTATACCTATCTGGAAGCTTCACAAATTGGGAAGGCGGTGCTAAGCAATGTCCATGTAATGTCATTAAAAAAAACTTATTTATTGAAATTAATAAAATGCATCAAGCTGCGAGTACATATACAACATATAGGTACTGTACATATACATTAGACAATGACAAGTTGAAAAATAATTTTTAAGTTTAAGCGTTTTTTTTTAATGGCATAGCTGGCATGCAGTTAGTTTAATTCATACATTTTGTCTTCTTGGATAAGACTCAGTTTTAGGATTTTTTTTTAATGTACTCATATTTAGAAGGGGAGTTGTCCATATGGATTGTATTGTATCTGCAATCATATGAAGAAAATTACTCAAAGTCCCATCTCAAGCAAATGTTGTTTTTCATGAATTTAGAGTAATTTGTTAGATTTATTTAATTTATAGGCTGCCCAATTCCTAAATGATTCTGAGTGGCTTGCAACTAAAAAGCCAGCATATAATAAAAGAGTACCAGAAGAGCAAAATACAAAAACAGAAAAAAATCAGACCAAATTAAAACAAAACAAAAAGGGGCTCCACACCCTGTCCCCAAGGCCTATAAGTTGTCCTGTAGTATGGCTCATCATCTATACTGATTGCCATTAGTTTGCCCTGACGATTTGTGGGTATCAAATGGTCCTCTTCATTTCTTTGGTTTTTTTCTCCTCTTTTCTCCCCCATCTCCATTCATCATCTTCCATTCAGCATAGTTAAGCATTTTTCTTTACCTGTAGTCTTTTGTCACATTTCTGCTGAAAACCTGCTCCCTAATTGTGGATTATAGAAGGAGGAGGAATATCTGAAGACATGTAGACAGTGGATCATGATGTTTACCTACCGCTTCTAGGCATTATCAAGAAATGGAGAGAAAATGTGACTGCTTGGCTCCTGTTTGCCTTTCACACTCCCATGTACCCATCACTAGATCTCTGTGTCCTAGTGACCTTCAAGAGATAGCAGAGTTGTAAGAAAGGAGGAAGGGACAGAATTTATGTGTTTGGCATTTTTGTATGAAGGTAGTCCTAGAAGGCATGACTTGGGTAGTTCGGTTAGTTCTCTCCACCTTTAGAACATCTCTCCATGTCATAATCATTAACATTTTATGGTCGATACTAAGTAATTCAGTGGTGTTCTTTCAAATGCAAAACAAACAACTGATTGCTGGATATTTAATACTAGTGAATGTATTTAAGGACACACATAATATTGAATGATTTTTTTTTTACTTTTGAAATAGGAGTTATATGAGCTTTTTCATTATTTTTTTTAAGTATTAGATGTAAGCTGATGGACAGAAATATTCCTTTCTATAGCAACAGCTTATAATGGTTTTTTAAAACATTTTTCACATGGTAAACGTGTAGCCAAATAACAATTATTAAATATTTAGTCTGAATTGCTTAATATTTTTCAGACATATTACTTATTCAGTCAGAGATGCAACCTTAAACAGAAGTATGTGCCATCAAAATGGGGAAGATTTTCAAGTCTATTTACTGACATATGTCTTGACTATATGCGAAAAGAAAAAAATTAGGATCCTCAAATAAATACTGAATCGTTTTTTCATTGTTCCTTTCATAAAGCAGACTAATTTTCTATCTGCACACTCGGCCCGGGATGAAGCTGCAAGATTGGAAGAGCGTAGGGGAGTGATTGAATTTCATGTGGTTGGAAATTCCTTAAATCAAAAACCAAATAAAAAGATCATGATGTGGCTGGTTGGCTTACAGAATGTATTCTCACATCAGTTACCTAGAATGCCAAAAGAGTATATTACTCGTCTAGTTTTTGATCCGTGAGTATCATCTCTCTTTTTCTTCCCAAAGGGAAAGGTAGAACAAAAAAAGGAATAATATTTATTGAATGGGTTCGTTTTTAGAAGCTGAAAGCAACCTTTTAAATCCACAGTCTGTGGGTTTGAGACTTGGAACAACAACAGTAACAAAAAGGAAGCTGAAAAATTGTTGTAATTTATGGCATTCTTTGTGAGAATTCTCACAAAGTTTGGGGAAGTTAAAAAGATGGGACTAAACATCAGGATTTGCATTCACTGGAAGGTTTGCTCCAAATAATGAGAAATAGGCAATAGTTAACCTTTCCAAGATGGAGACCATTTATCATTGGAACAGGAAGGAGGACAATTTTGACACTTCTTGCTCCCCTCCAAAACATTCTTTAGAAGGCTGGTGTGGGAGTTGCAGGTGAAGGTGCCTTCTATCATGAGAAAGACACCAACTGGTAGTAATATGACTTGAAACATCATGAAGATAATTGTTTTTGCAGTTATAAATTTATTCAGTAGAAAATTTGTGTAGAAAAGATTGGCAACGAAGGAGACCTGACAGAGTCTAATTCAATCAGTTCAGGCAATATTTGATTGAAACTAATTCAGTCAGGAAGAGGGATTCTTCCCTCTTCTGGCAAACTACCAGAAGTCTAGGAAAACCGCTACCCCCACCCCCCAATCAAGTACCAATTCAAGCCTGGGAAGAGTATTTTAGAGGATTGTACATGGGCCCTGCTAGTAACATAAATGAGAGTGAGATCGACCTGGACTAAGTTCAGAATTGGCCCTCTGTCTCTGTGCAAGAGATAACCCGATTGAATCCCTTAACAAAGCTCCAGGTGTTGTGTTTTGCCTGAAATAATTAAAAAGAATCCCAGCTGGTGGCGCCTCTGCTAGCATCCCTATTTACATTCATAGATCAAACTGGTTATGTTCCAAAAGATTGGGGGCTGGCAACAATAGTCCCAATTTATGAAAAGGGCAGTAAGAATGATCCATGCAATTACAGGCCTATCAACCTTTTGAGTGTTGTTAGCAAATTATATGCTAAACATTTAAATCACAAGCTCCAAGACTGGATAGAGACAGAGGGCATAATCCAAGATGAGCAGGCAGGATTCAGAGGTCAACAGTAGACCACATTCTGGTGCTCTACCATCTTGTACAAAAATACACTCATAAAAAGAAATCATCCCTCTTCGTGGCCTGTCTAGATTTTAAACATGCCTTTGACTCAATTTCCAGGAATGCCTTTTGGGAAAAATTTAAAAAAACAACTATTGTCAGGTACCTCCTCTTTCTGATATAGAACTTATACTCCAGCACTACTTTAAGAGTGAGATGCAATTCCCAAGGGTCCCTCTTGGGCACAGGAAGTGTTCAGAAAAGAGTGCGAAGGAGATGTATTCCTGCCCCTTCTCTTTTCAGCTTGTACATCAGTTCAGTGGTAGGCCTTCATAATCCAGAATTTCCACGGACCTAAACTAGCACGGTGCAAAATCCCTATACCCCTCTAGGGTGCTGCTGCTGCCATAATTTCACAAACTCCTGTAGGGCTAAAAAGCAATAGCAGCAATATTTTGGTACTGCGGACAAAATCATCTGGTTCTTAATTTTGATAAATCTAAAATTCTGGTCTTTGCTAAGAGAGCCACCCAACAATCCTGGAGAATAGAAGGGCACAAATTAGAACAGGTTACTGCATTTAAATATCTTGGGGTGGTTTTCCACCTGGAACACGCACCAGAATCACATAGTGCAGCTAGGTCTAAGCGCTTTTTTTATACAAGCAGAGGGCAATTAATCCCCGTGGCATTAAAATTTTTTGAGGCCAAACCACTGGCCCAAATCCTTTATGGGACACAAGTTGGAATTTATGTGAAGAAGGATACACTGGAAACACTGCAAACAAAATTTTTGAGATCAATTCTTGCTGCACCCAATGGAACAGCAAACACCCAGTTAAGGCTTGAGACAGGAATCTCAGTAAGGGCTTGGCGGAGAATGATAGACTATTGGTTGAAAATCCAATTCTTTCCAGTCAGACTGACTCCTTTAGTTTTACTAGACAATTTTCCTTCTCCTTGGAAACAAGCTATAGAGCAGGAGTTGGCATTATATGGGCTTATTCAGTAAAGCTATTTCCATCTGAAGAAATGAGTTATTCCAATAAAATAAGTTGGGATAGAAGGTAATCATTTGAAAGGGAATCTGGAAAATGCAATCAAAATATTTTATGTTGACAAACTACCAGTTTTCTGGGCACTTTCTTCCTCTTTAGAAAATCAAATCAAATCTAGCATCAAATCTATGCAAAAGTGCTTTTATATATAATTGCTCTGACTATGAAGGCACCAGTGGTGCCCACCATTAGTGGGTATATCATTCATATGACAAATGTATGTAACTACAGGAAACACAAGACCCTTGCATTAATAAAGGATGGTCGTGTGATTGGTGGTATCTGTTTCCGGATGTTCCCATCTCAAGGATTTACGGAAATAGTTTTCTGTGCTGTGACTTCTAATGAACAAGTCAAGGTAAAACCAATATTAGTGGCATTATAAGACAAATGTATTATACAATATGCAGGTATAATTGGATTTTGTGTGGCTCCATAGTCCTGAACTTGATCAAATGGAGAAAATATTCTTCTGCCCAAAGTGCATTGTATTCTTCCACAGAAGGCTCACTACTAAAATTAATTGCATCCAGATGCAGAACAGAATTCTTACTGTAAGTGTAGAATGATTGCTATATTGAAAACCACCTGAAAATATAGTTCATTAGAAGTAATATTCATTGCATTTTTGTCACAATTTTGTCACTTTCATGAGTGCAGTCTGCTTTTTAAAAAGAAACCAGAAGGCTGAGTAAACACATGCCAAAGTAGCATTCTCTTGTGATTTATTGTACTTACCACAATTCACAGAGGAAATTATACTTTCTTTGTCAGTCAGTGATGAATGGAATATCTGTATAAATCTTCCATCTTATTTCCAGTTCAGTCCCAATGCAAATAACAAAGGAGGAAATATGGTAAACGGAGCTAGGTAGGAAAACAGTGTGCCAGTTAGAGAAATTTTTATCTTTGCTGATTGTGATTGAAGTATATCTGAAGTCACAACCTATTGCAAGGAGGGTGGGTAGCATTATAATGTAAATTATAATGCTGGAAAATATCTGGTGACAACAGACAATAACTGTTCCCCGACTTTTAGCATCTTTCTATAATAACGGAATGGTAAAACATTTAGCTCTATCTGGAAGATATGCAATGACTACTGATCATTCAAAAAGTGCTGTACGTTCAAAGGGTAGAACATCTAATAATTAAATAATAAATCTGGAATGAACCTTAATGATGATCTACCCTTACTCATTGTAGGAAACTGTTATATCCTGAAATGGTATATCTGATTTTCTCCTATGCTAGTTGCTTAATCAGCAACCTAACCAAACAGAACGAACAAGCAAACTTAACCTCAACAGTAGACTAAGTCTGATGCCTCAGCAATCTAAGCAAATAGCAAATAGCAAAAAGTCCAAAATCGAAGAGAGGAAAGCTTTGATCTAAAGCAGGTGAACTGATGAAACTTACACACATGGATACGCAAAAACTAGCGATACAGGAAAGAAAAAAAACATGGGGGGAAATGTAACACCAACCCTAAGAATAGGTTGAATCAAGTATTTCAACAAAGGTAGAAGAAAAAAGCCAAAAGCAAACACAGGTGGGGAAATCCTTCCACTAAGTTACAAAGTGAGCTCAAATATAGATCCACCATTTGTCTGCAGGTTCCCTTATTCAGTCTCTCTTGGGAAAGATGCTAGTTATAACTTCCTGCTCTGGTTAGATTGCGGAGTTATAACTAGTTACATAACTCCGCAATAGTTATAACTATAGTTATAATAGTTATAACTTCCTGCTCTGGTTAGGCTGCGGAATATTACTTTGAAAGTAGTTTTTGGAAGCAGGATTTAACATGACCCATGTAATTGGAAAAGAAAGCTTTGTAACCAGTCTTTCTGTCAGTAGACCAAAATTCTGTTCTCACACACAGTTCTTAGGGACCCACAGTATTTCTGTACAGATAGTCCTGGACTTATGACCATTTGTTTAACAACCATTAAAAGTTACAACAGTGCTGAAAAAGTGACTTACAACCAGTCCTTGCACTTATGACTGTCACAGCATCCCTGTGGTCACATGATTAAAATTAGGGCGCTTAGCAACCAGCATGTAGTCACTTTGTGTGAGATGGGCGGCTATATAAATATGATAGATAAATAAACAAATACATTTACGATAGTTGCCGCATCCCAGGGTCACATGAGAGCCATTTGCGACCTTCCCAGGGAGCCTCTGACAAGCAAGGTCAATGGGGGAAGCCAGATTTGCTTAACGATAGCAGCAAAAAAGGTGGTGAAATCGGGGGCGACTCAATTAATGACCGCATTGCTTAGTGATGGAAGTTCCGGTCCCAGTTGTGGTTGCAAGTCAAGGAGTACCTGTATTTAAATTGTTTTATTATTGCAAACTCCAAGCGGCAAAGTTTTAATACATTGCAATCCTCAATTGATAAACTCATCATAATTCCTTTGCAGGGTTATGGAACACACTTAATGAATCATCTGAAAGAGTATCATATTAAGCATAATATTCTCAACTTCCTTACATATGCTGATGAATATGCAATTGGCTACTTCAAGAAACAAGTAAGTAGAACTTTGGGGACCATTTTCAATCTGCAGCAAAATGAAAGTTGAATAACTGTTAGAAACATACAGAAGACTTTTAGAGTGATCTTGCTATCTGAGGGAAAAATATAACTCTTCTTTGAATTTGAAGACTATTGTTTATAAACACCAGACCTCTTAAAAGAAAGTCTTCCGGCATTTTAGGCTAATCGGTTTTATTATCATATAAGCCTTCATTATTGTATAAGCTGAAAGATTAATCTTTAAGATGCCACATTTTCTTTTTGCTACAAAAGATGAACTGGGCCACTAAAAAAACTAAAGTTGTTTGGTTTTGTATTTTGGGAAATCTGTATGTTCTGGCTGTTTCTTTGAAATGACAGTTCATTCCTGGGTTGTTTTTTCTACTGCTGTTATGTGACTCCTCTATATAATATATTTTTCTCCCTCTTTCTGTTTTTGAGAGCTTCTTGACAGTTGCTACAGGAGTTGTAATTATCTTTGTAATAGTAACCACTGATGAATTACATGGTGATCTTCAAAAAAATTATATTGTGTATCCTGTTTCTATGATGCATAGTGTGATTTTGTCATGAACTTAAAATTAAGGGTGGTGGTGACTGATCTCTGGTTGCAGAATTGCAGCCTCAAAGTACATGAAGGAAAATATCACTAATGTAAAAAGTCACAATGGCTTCAGTAAGCAAGTAAAAGTAAATTGGTTCTTTTTCCTTAGGGATTTTCAAAAGATATTAAAGTACCAAAAGCAAAATATGTAGGCTATATCAAGGACTATGAAGGAGCAACTTTAATGGGGTGTGAATTGAATCCAAGGATTCCTTACACTGAATTTTCAGTCATCATTAAGAAACAAAAAGAGGTAAAAAGTGGTTTTTTTAAAAAGCATACGCTAATCAAGTGTTGTTTTTAATCAATTCATTAACACCTGCAAAGTTTCTCAAGAATAAGGATTATTGTACAACATTATATTTTTCTTCCAGGGACCCAGTACAAAATGATACTGTGTTTTTTTATGGGTGTGGAAAATTTCTTCTGAAGGAAATTCACTGGCTTGAAACAAAAGTAGAAGGATGACTGTATTTTCCACTTGTCTGTTTCATGAGTGTCAGTTGTAAAACAGAACATTTAATAACACCACAATGGATTTTTTAGTATAGCTTGGATATCATTACAGGTAGTCCTTATTTAGTGACTGCCTTGGACAGCAACCATTTGCAGTTACAGTGGTGATGAAAAAATAACTTTTGCGACCAGTGCCCGCATTTATGACCTTCACAGCATCTCTCTCTCTCTCTCTCTCTCTCATTCTCTCTCATCACACATTTGTCATTACAGTTAGTACGTGCTGTCTTCTGTCTGACACGTTTTTTTCCTTTTCCTCCACCTTGCAAAGTGGAGAGATTGCCTAAAGACATTATCTCTTCCTGAGCCGCTTTTGTCCTCAGTGCAGCACATCCCTAAAAAGTGCTAACCACAAGTTAACAAGTTCAGCTCTTTGACCTTAATTAGTTGATTAGAATCCTTTGGCTGACTTGTGCTGCTGCCTAATCCTGACAAGAGCTTAGTTAATTTGAAGGCTTTTTTTGCCTCCTAAGCAGTGTGTCACTCACAGCCACGAGTGTGCTAGATGAACAACTGGCAATAAGCGCATTCCTTTCTATATGTATTCTGTATTGTGTGTCTGCTTACTCTCTTGTAATTCCTTTTTCTCCAATGAATATAAGTACAAACTCTCTTCTTGCTAATTATCCCAGCACTGGGGTGAGCATTCCAAAGGGCAGGAAGTGGGGAAAAGGGCTATAAGATTTGCCTTTTTACTGAGTTCCCTTGTGAATCAAATTCTGGAACCCTTCCCCTGTTTGAGCTCACCTGGCTGTTTGGGGTTGTATCTTTCTGATGCTGGAAAGCAAATTTATTGTATGCTGCCCAGAATCACTTCATGTGAAGTGGGCTGTTATATAAATTTGACAAATAAAAATAAATAAAAGGAAAGCTGAAGTAAAATCATAAGAACAGTCATGGTCACATGATTTTTCTCTTAGCGACTGCTTTGTTTAACAACTGAGTTGCCGGTCCCAATTGCGGTCGCTAAACGAAGGCTACCTGTATATAAATGAAGAATTCTCTTCAGTGGTGGAGGAAGAGTAGATCACCAACTTGGATGAGGGAAACCAGTTCTGAATCCTGTCTCCCTATCAGTGACTTTGACCAACTGTTTTTGAAGCTGGGAAGTCATAATGTCAGTGCCATGAAGGCTAAGCAGAGAATGAGAAAGGAGAAACCTTGAATGTGAGAAATCCAAAGCTGCCAAGCCCTGCAAGGCTGGCAAATTTAGGGAACAAGAACTGCTTGGATTTCTGTAGATATTTGTTGCTAGTAGGGTAATGTAATTGAATCTTGAAAGGTGCCAAAGCAATTTTACACAACTTAAACTAGCATAATTAAGCTGGAATTAGTCTCTTATTTTGCCCTCTCCTGGACTCAGGAATCTTTTCTGTAAAAGCTGTACTTCCTATATTGGCCTTTCTCCCTCCTCTGTATTCTCAGAATCTGTTAGACATTCCATCATACTGCTGCCTTCTTCACTCTCCCCCCCTGCCATAGAAAGTATGGAAAGCAACCCCTCCCCCCCCAAAATGGGTAGGCATCTCCTCAAGATCAAGAGACAAGTCTGAAATAGAAGGTCCAAAGAAACAGTAATGTGCCCTGCTTTCCCTGGTAAGACATGTAAGGTATGGTGGGGTGAGCATGGAGACCTCTTCTTCCTGGTGATCAAAGCCTGGTGCATTCAGGGGGACAAGGATTGTCTGGAAATTTCATATGGAGCTGATGAACAAGTTGGGGCATGTGTACTGTCATGAGGAATGCAGAGAGTTGTTATATGCAAATTCTGCAAATGACAATGTCAGGTCAATTGTCCTGTTGACAGGATACATGGCCACACAAATTTATTTCTATCACAGCATTAGTTCTTTCCTGTCAACCTACTTGTGATGAGACAATGACAAATGAATATGAATATGCAGTAATTGAAAGAGGGTTTCCAGAACCTGGATTAAATTGAGAGGCATGATCTGAGATCACATGACCAGAAATGTGGTCTAGAAACAACAGTTGCTTTTTATGTTGAATAAAATGAACTCTCTTCGTAAATAGATCCACTACCACTAGAATACCATTTTAATTTCATATTATGAATATTTTGTTTTTTATTGTATTGTTGATTTCCATATGATATTGTTAACTGCTGAGAGTTCGAGGATAGCTGTGGGAATAAATCAATTACAAATTATTATCATTATAATGGAAGAAATGCAACCTGTGTATATATGTTATATGCTCACTTACTTACATGCTAAGTAAATAATTACCCATGTTGTGGATCCAACTGTAAGTATGGGCAACTGACCATGCATGACAGTGGCATCCCTCAGTATTATTATCAATGAAAGAGGCAAATTGGATAAATATTGTGCTGCAGATGAGTTGCACGTGCATTTAATAACGTTAGGCAGATGACTTACAAACCTCAATATCTTAGATATTTATATATTTCAGATCCATATGCCTTCATTCCCCTCTGAATATTCAGTTTTTACTGAACATTGGCTTGTTCATTGTCTCAGTTTTAAAATAGCTACCGAGAAGTATGAAACTGTTCAAAAATTAATCTCATTTAAATGAATCTGATTGCTTTTTACAGTTCTGTTTTTGTGCTATCTTTGTTCCAGATCATTAAAAAATTGATTGAAAGGAAACAAGCACAGATTCAGAAAGTTTATCCTGGCCTTTCTTGCTTCAAAGACGGAGTACGACAGATACCCATAGAAAGTATTCCTGGAATTAGTATGTATCCTGTCCTGGTAGCTGTTTAATTACACTTGCCAAGGTTTTTATAATGTTTATCACCTTTGGCAAATATTGATTGGGTTAATTTAATTTTAAGATACTGGATTCTCTTCTCCAGAAATGAGGTGCTTCTAGGTTATTTATAACATTTATTTTAATGACAATTAACTTATATATTTTAATTGTGTATCGTGGCATGGTTCTTTATTTTCTTGTTAATAGCCATTAGAAATAATACGCAGATAATTACTATTATTTTTACAGTATTTTGGGAATTAAAAATAAGAACTGATTGATGACTGAATTCTGATGCTTTCTTGACTGATTTGTATGCAAATATTAATTGTTGAAGATTTGTTCTTTTTTAAGATACTCAGATATATTTGAGCATTAGCTTATCCTCTAAAGCAGAGTATATGGATTTAAGACTACGTGTTATAACTTACCACTTTTAATTTGCCTTTTGCTTTAATTTTGTTCGTTGCATAGGAGAGACTGGCTGGAAACCAAGCAGTAAAGAGAAGGGGTAAGTGTTGTTTGAGCAAGATAAATTAATTAAAACCCTTTCAAATTGAGTACTGATATGTTCCTTAAAAATAATTGCATCTTTATTTCTAACAGAAGAATAAGAACATTTTAGTCATTAACAGTTTGCAATTGGTGGATTGTTGGCTTTTTAAAAGAACACTGTACAAACCATACATTTTAATCTTGCCTGCATTTTGTTTTAAGTAAAGAACCCAAAGATCCAGATCAACTTTACAGCACACTAAAAAACATTCTACAACAGGTCAAGGTATGTTTTATTTTATTTTTGTAAATCTCATGAAATGTTTTGTGATATAGAACATTGATCAGTAATACTTTTTTTCCTAGAGCCACCAAAATGCTTGGCCTTTCATGGAACCAGTGAAGAGAACAGAAGCTCCTGGATATTATGAAGTTATAAGGTTCCCTATGGGTAATGCCATTAGCTTTTTAAAAATAAGGCCTCTAAAGGGAAATATGTTTTTAAATATGGAACTATAATATTGTGCTGTTCTATAAACTTTGCACAACTGTCAGAGAGTATTATTATTATTATTTTTGCAGTGCAGTGCAGTGATAGTAATATCTACATAAGAAACATGTATGTAGGATAATTATCTTGAAGCATCTTGTGTAGGAGCTCATGCAAGAGATTTTTCTGTGTTTGGGGTTTACCTCTGTCATCAGCACTCATCTGTTCATTCAGAAATAGACTGTTTATAAGCAGGAGAGACTTCTGTTTACAGAAAGCTGTTTTTGCCCAAACTATAATTTAGAGGCAGCATTCTCCTCCACAATCAGATCATTTTTACCCACCACTCCTAAAAACAACAGAATAGCTGCTCACATTCATTTTCTGCAAATGGATGGCAGATTCATTATAATTTATGAAGAATGATGGTTCAACTGCAAATAATGGATAAAGTGTTACACACACACACACACACTGATCTTATGTAGCACTGAAATAACTGAAGTCTCAGTGAACAGCCATTTTTTTTCACTAAAGAAGGGAGGGGGACGCATAGAGCCAAATGATATCTAGTAATAAGATGATGTTTATTCTTACACAGACCTGAAAACTATGAGTGAACGATTGAAGAACAGGTACTACGTATCTAAGAAATTATTCATGGCAGATATGCAGCGAGTGTTTACTAACTGCAAAGAGTACAACCCACCTGAAAGTGAATATTACAAATGTGCCAATATACTGGAGAAATTCTTCTACACAAAAATTAAAGAAGCTGGATTAATTGACAAATAATTTTCTTCTCATGCAATTAAGATGCCTAATTTCACAGCAGAATATGCAGTTCTTTCATTAGATTTGAAACTTGTGTTTATAAAAAAAAACTTTCTTAACTAGCACTTTTAAACATGTAATATAGAAGAGTTTATTTTATTAAAGTATTTTTAAATGTACACTTGCATGCCCTTTTGCAGTGTATTCAATTTTTATTAGATGTATTGCACAAACTGTTTGGAGATTTGGAAAGGGTAAATTTCCAAGCAGTGAATGTTTAAGCTTAATGTATCAGATTGAAAAATGGCTTTTTATTTTTACAGCGAAGATGTTAATGAAGGGGGAGATA